TGGTTGTTGAAAAAGCACTTTTGATGTCTATGTTATTCGGCAAGAGTGGCTGGTTGTGTAGAAGCCATCAAATAAGTAATATAGTCACTTTTATAGATTTATTTTGCAGCTAAAAATTGAAAGTTGATTAATATTTGCATAGAAGTGACATTAGGCGTTTATTGGCTGATGTTTTTCAGTGCGACTGACAAATTTAATAATGGTTGTGAAAAAGTTGAGTAAACGCTCTACAAAACTATTTTGCTAGCTTCTGCTTGTAGCTGTATCTGCAGCTTTGTTTCAGCTACTTTACAGCACAACACTGGAAAAGTGGGCTTATAAAGCTAAAAATGTTAATTGGTGACCCCGGCGTAGTGGTTAGGATCCATACCTCTCACACCAGGGGCGACCCCGGCGTAGTGGTTAACATCCATACCTCTCACGCCAAAGTCACGAGTTCAAATCTCACCCCCGGACAAGTCACGAATGACCCAAGAGCGTTAAGACTATAATACAAATAAAAAAATAACAATAATCCAATGCCTACGAGATTGTGCCAAAGGTGTGCGGATGAATGTGTCCAAGATGTGCCGAATCTAATTTCGGCACAATGTGCTTAGTGACTTACCCCTTGGTAAAACGTAGTTTTCTTCAAATAGTTTTGTAGCATGCCCACAGGGCACTGGTTGCTTTGTTAATCACAGAATTTAGCTGAGCATTTCAATTCAACTTGGCGTCCAAAATAACTCCTATGTATTTGACCTGTTCACTAAGAAGGATCTGCTCTCCGCCAAGATTGAATTCTTTTAGGTTAATCTTCCTCTTTCTAGAAAAGGGGATGATTTCGACTTTTGATGGATCAATACTAAGGACCTCATTAATGCACCAAAACTGGGTAAATTTTAGGGCCTCTTGCATTCTTCCAGAAATGATAACGTCAAACTTTCCTCTTGCTATAATGACTATGTCATCCGCAAAGTCCACACCTTAAGACCACAGCAGTTGTGAGAGAATTCCTCCTTGAGGACAACCTTTCGTTGTTTTTACTGTTATAGATGAGCTACCCAGCCCCGAAGTGATTTCCCTTTTTGCAAGCATAGTCTGAATCCAGTTGACGATGCGCCTATTGAAGTTCCTTGCCTTCATGGCGTTAACCATAGAGGAAAAGGATGCGTTATCAAAAGTTCCTTGAATATCCAAGAAAGAGCAGAGTGCAATTTCTTAAACTGAAAGAGATTTTTCAATGTTTGTTACTAAGGTATGGAGAGCATTAACTGTTGATTTTCCGGATTGATACGCAAACTGAAAATTAGATAATGGATGCGTGAACACGTAAGTTGAATTGATGAAATCATTCAACACCTTTTCCATAGTCTTTAACAATGATGAAAGACTGATGGCCCTGAATGATTTTGGATGGGTTTCGTCGCGCCTCCCATTTTTTGGTATGAACATAACTCTTACCTATCTCCATTTTGATGGAATATAATTTAACTTTATACTTGCCTTAATATCTTAGTTAGACCCAGAATCAGCACTGCTTCACCTTTTTGAAATAACGCCGGGAATATTTCGTCCACATCTGCAGATTTAAAGGGCTGAAAAGATCTCACCGCATTTTCCCCCTCCCCTTGGCTAGTTTTTGCACCTTGCTGTTGGTGGGCGGGCTTAATTTCATGCTTTACAGTGAAGTGTTGGAGACGGTAGGCTTATGGCTGGCGTTGCTGGCTCATGTCGCGATAGAATGGCGTCATGAGCAGGCAATGGGGATTACTAAGCTTCCCCTCTCTGATAAACCACTGCATGAGAGAACCAAAGATCTAGTCTAGCAGTGATAGTATCACACTTGTTACTCCTTTGATTGAGAGCCGCGTCGTAGCACGCTTATGTATAGGCACTGACGTTGGGTGTGATAATGGCGGGTTTTGCCGCAAATTACTCTTATTTTATTTATTTTTACGCAGATAGATTTATTTGGGTTTGCAAGGGAGTTATACTATTGAAAGAAAGTGCCCAACGGTGCTCTTTCTGTTTGCGTGACAAGCTTTCATTGTTGTTTTCATTGAAGTATTACTCAGGAAACAATGTTAAACATCATTTTTGTACATGGTTTTGTAACTAATCTTATATGTGCTTCATTTTGATTTGGGATAAGTGTTTGAACTATGGCTCGGGATTTCCACTGCTCTAGTAGCACACTTGTCACAAATCGGTTGTGGCAACTTCTATACAACTTATATCAGTCATAAAAAAGTTGCTGCAACTTATTGTGACGGAAATGTGCTACTCGGGTGTGGCGTGCTTCTATTGTGACATACCCAGACATATTTTTGTGGTGCGACATAGGGCCCATGCATTAATTATGTCACGCTAAATCGAGCAAAAAATTACCCCCTCCCCCCTATCGTGACGTTTTTCCTATACCTAATGCATTGCTTGTCAAAAAAGCTTAGACCCCCCCTCCCCCCTTAGAGCGTGACATAATATATGCATCAACCCATAGTGGAAGCGTGTGAGCATAGTTGGAGCATATACCCTATATAATTTAAAAATCAGCTAGTAAAATAACATCAAAATGAAACATTTTAGTCACATGAAGGTCGAACTAAGATGTAATACATAGGTATAGTCTTAAATCATAATTACTTGAAACACGTTTAATTTTAGATTACAAGCAAGAGTGCAGGTACTTAATAAAGCATGGGTTATGATTGATTAGGTGAATTAGAGCTTTTAATAATTTATTAAATTAGACTAATGAGATATCATAATCATCAAATGTACTTAAATAAGAAACTTCAGAAAGTCCAATGACATTAAGTAGATAAACAAAAGAATTTGGATGCGGGGGGTCTGCTTAGGGAGGTAGCATAAATCTTTTTATTTAGTCTTGAACTTTAAAAAGAAAACGCAAGCAGACAAATAGCATTAAGCAGATTAACAAGGAGAGGAATAGTTTAGGAAATAAGTAAAAATAGAGGTATGTGACAATTAATAGCTTTTATACTTTCGAGGTATTGTATTCACCTGAGTTTGTTGTACTCGATTACTATATTATTCTCTCAATACGCAAAATCTCTTATATATGCGGTTAAAAACATTTGAGTTAACTTATTTCTTAGTGTTCAAGTACTTACATTTGGAAACAGCAGTCAATGTTAATCTATGAACTAAACCCTATGTAAAATCGATCTTTCCTTATGTGATATTGATGCATGTTTAACTTTTCGCGGCTGACGGAATCAACGCGCCTACGTCTACGGAGCTTACGCAGAAGTGATTTGCAATGCGATAGAGCTCACCAAAAGTTTTTTTTTTAGCTTCTGTAGTATAGAATTTGTTCGGTGCGGTCGCGAAATCTTGAAATGATTGATACGTTCTTTAAATTAACTAATTTGATACAAAGCTCAGTAGTAAATAAGTAGAATATCTAGGGAGGAAACCAAAATTAATCAACTTGCCAACATAGGCTATCACATTTATTTTGGTGGCACTCTTTAAATGATAATAAGCCTTTTTTTCTCGCTTCGGTTGTCTCGCACGGCTTTCGGAATTCGCGCGGTTTTCGTAACTTACATAATTTAGATATTTCGTTCGAAACGGATTTACTTATTCAATCGGTTTACTACGCGGATGTATCTACGCGCACACGTCACAGCATTTTTTCTATAACTATCTTGAAACAATACATACGGAATCCAGTGTTCAAGCGGCCAACATAGGCTAGTCATTCTGCTGTATTGTCATAGATAGAAGCAAAATTTATTCAAAAGGGTCCAGTCTTGAAAACTAAGCTGTCACGCAGCTCCAGCTTGACACCCAATAAAAAAAAGATTTCACTGTATTTTCTACTCTGGCCTCAGTGAAGATTTCATCAGCTATATTTGGTGTGGTGCCTCCTGTTCTTTGAGTCATAGAACATCTTTCATCAACAAAATCAGAGTTAGCCGATTCCTCACACAAGACTGATCCGGGAAAATGTGTTTCCATCATTAGATCTAAAGTTTCAGAAGGAGATTCGGTGAAACCTCCATCAAGATATTTAAGATTACCAAGTTCTGTCGTATGATCTTTCGAAAGAGTTTTTTGTAACCTTGCCACTAACAGAATGCTTTCACACATTCGAATCCAAGACTGCCTCTTAGATTTCCTTATTATATTCAGATAGAGATTTCTTGTACTGTGTCCAATCAGAAGTGATTTTCGCATTATTGAACATCTTACGAGAAGTTTTCCGAAGGCGTTCCAAATTCGAATTCCACAACGGTACATCCCTGCTAGAGGAGAACTGCTTGATAGGACAACTACTGTTGAAAAAACTGATAATCCTTTCGTTTAACTTTTGGGAAAATGATTCCAACTGTTGAATCGATTCAATTTTAATATCATTTGTAAATATGTCAGAATTCAAGCACTGTGCAATATGACCCCAGTTTGTTTTCCTAAAAATAAAAGCTTCCCTTTGTCAGTATCACGATAGATCAAAGTGATGAACATTCCTAACATGGAATAAAAGTATCTTTTTTAGCATATGCAGAGTTAACATTATATTTATTCGTCATCCTCGTTCTTCCAAAGCTGATAATTATTGACTCCATTCAAGCTGGTAAAAACTCTCCTCTTCCATCGGTAGCCTTGACCCCCAACTGAATCCACCCATGTCCATACGGTAGCATCGAAGATGCTTTGTCATCACCCTTCACGTGTATTCAGCTTTGAATATCCAAGCTCAACAAAAAAAAAGGAACTGCTCATTGCTGAGCTCGTCACCATTAGGCAACGCAAATAATATCCACCTGCGTCGTATGGGTCCACTAGTAACAAAAAATCCAAACTCAACTCACTAGCCTTCCCTCGACCCATCCGGTGTAATTTGCGCTTGTTCAGGACCCCGATAAAATAGACCGGAAATTTCAAACAACCCTTGGCAGTTCCTCTTGCGGAGAGGAAAAAAATATGACCGTATTTGCACAATGTTTTAATTAGCTAACCTCTTTTTCCATTATCTCTACTCGTTTCAGATGATTAGATACCGAGTTGGGCCTCCGGGTTTGGAGTAACTGTATGTTTTGGATAGCTCCCGAAAACAATTTCAACAAGTCAAACAGAGCAACAAAAAAAAAGGTTAGTATTTTTTTCCTGCTTCTAAACACAATCGCATCATAGTCTTAATAATCATCATAATGCTTTTTCCGGTCGATGACATAATCGGTCGGGGTCGACGGGAAATGCTGATACCGACAAAGACCTTCTAATTACCGATTTGATTAATGGGCATGCATCACCTCCGATTAGAGCGAATCTCATAAATCTCCCCTCCTGTTCGTCGGAGAAAAAAGTCGATTATCTTCTGCTGCTGGCCCGGGAACTACGGGAATCCGTTTTCCCCCATCTCTACCATCCACTCACCACATTTTTCCGATTTGGTTGGGGCTGCACGATTGCATGCTGTTCATTTTTCCGCATCGGTTGCTTTTGGGGTTGAGATAATGGAATCAACACCTTTTTTCGCCCCGGTTCCAGTTTCCAACTCTTGACACTCTCCGGCAAAGATGTACCTATGTGTGTTGCCAGGGAAAAGAAAAGAAAAACAAACCAGAAAATGAAAATTCTCAACACATACTCCCGGTAAACCAAACACTGGCAGACAGACAGGGTGACAAGTGGAAAAGTGATAATTATTTCGTGCGATAAAAATACCAGTACCGGAAAATGAAGACGAAGGGGGGAGGGAGGTGCGGGATAACCGTGTGTTCATAAACATGCTCTCTCCAGAAGTGGGTTTCGGGAAATAACATCTTTTCGTTTTCCTTCCATGCAGCAGCTGAATGGAATGCAAGTTGCCTCTCAAAAAAGCAGTCGATTTTTCAACGATATTTATTTGTTTGTTCCAACACTTGAGTGTTGTTTCTGTTTTTTTCTATCCGATCGCTTCGCCGCATAGACTAGACGGCCAGACTCACTTTCAATGCCACACAGCGCACCTACACCTACCGTTCAGCGCGACAACTTGTCTTTCCCTTCGTTCGTTCGTTCGGTCGTTCGATTCATGAGTATCTTCCTTTATTTTCGGGATAATAAATTCTTGCATTCGAGAGAAGGGAAAAAAAAACCCTTCGGGAACCAACAAAATAACAACATCCAATAACACATGCTGTTGCTGCTGAGCTTCTTTTTAACGATTCTTTTTTCCAAAGAATTTATCCCGAAAAAAAACGGAACGACTGATTCAATTGATATTTTTTGAAAGCGGAAAGGTACCGCGGGGAGGTGAGTTTTTTTTTTCGCTAGAAAGTATAAAGAGTGCTCTCGATGTAAATTGTGTGAAGATCGAGCAACACGACGACGACGCCGACGTTCGTTTGGGAGGACTTCATTTCTACTGGCCGTGGCGTGGTACTCGATAAAGCAAATAAACTTTCTCGTTTTCGAAGTTCGATGGGTGTATGTGTGCTACTAGACATTTGCGTAGATCAACGAGGTGAGTAGGTTCATCGAAAAGTAAAAAAAAATATTTATTTGCATGAACATGGTTTTGGATTTATTATGTCCCTACTGGGGCTTAACGCCGACTCTAAACTTAGTGTTCTTCGAGCACTTCAACAATTGTTAACTGAGAACTTTCTAGGCCTGTACCATTTTTACATAAGTATATATTGTGTGGCAAGTAGCGTGATAATGTTTGCACCATTGAGCAATGTCAAAATTTAAAAAAATTTCAAAAATTTCGTTTTTGATTTTTTTTTGTTTATTCAAAGGGGGGATGTTTCTCAAAGTCTTAAACTATGTTAATCATCGATCGAGTTTCCACTTCTGCAATTACGGCCTCCACATGCTTCGGGAATGCACGGCAGGTTCTAATAATGTAGTCTGGATCAATTTCTCTCCAGGTACGGGTCAATGTTTGTCTGAGGCTTGCTGTACTCGGGTGGCGTTTAGAACAGGCCTTGGCCTTTATGACGCGTCATATTGAGTAATCCAGCGGGTTAAGATTGGGGCTGGATGGCGGCCACATATCCTTCGCCCAGAACGGAAGATGTTCCTGCTACCACTTCTGAGTTCGGTTCGAGATGTGGCACGTAGCCCCATCTTGTACAACATTTGGCTTCGGACCGTACTGTTCTTTGATCCACGGAAGAACATACTTACTTAAAATCCCGATGTAGACCTCCGTGTTGACCTTGTCGCCTTCTGGAATGAACACCGGGTCCATTTGATTGCCATCGGAAGCCACCAATCCAAACACCATAACGCTAGCCAGATGCTAGGTCAGATACACGTTCTTGTGCTCTTCGGCCACGTCAAGAGAACTAATATACCGGTCGGTTCTGGAATTTGATACGGGATCGATGGAAAACATGCTCTCGTCGGTGAACAGGATTACCGGATTTTTTCGCTTAAGGAAGTTCAAGATTTTTTTGCACCGTTCGACTCGTAGCTCCCGGATCGCCCCGCAATCTTCCTTTACGATCTTCCGTGCCGTAAAGTCACTGATCCCGTGTTCCTTTGCCATTTTCCTTATTGAACGCACTGGATTCACCCGAATCTTCCTTTTGATAACAGCGATAACCCTCGGAACCCGAGCTGACCTCGGATGACCTGTGGCCACCTTCGCGGATAGTTTTCCTTTCTTTTCTCGGTCTAAAACCCTTTTGACGGTCAATCGGGACACTCTCACGGCGATTGAAATGTCTTTTTGCGACATGGGACAAATCACGAATACGCTGCCACTTCGTCATGGTGCAACTGTCAAACTAAGTAAATCATTTTATTTTATACACAGCCTACTATAGCTATAGTATGAGCTATAGGTTACGTGCATGCAAAGAAAACCAAGGCATTGTTTGCACAGATTATGAAACGCGAACCTTGTTTGTAGGATGGTGCAAACATTATCACGCATACGGTATAATCATACTCCCCGTAGTAACACAATGTCATACACAGATAAAAAATCTGAATTTTAATAGTGATGTAAACATTCATTCACGTAAACTTGTATTTCATTTCACGCAACCGAGCAACTTGTAAACAATGTTGTTTCCAACAATGGGCTTTTGTATACAATATTTGCTACATTGCATGAAATGTCTTAGAACTTTACATGATATATAATGTAAACTTATGTTATATGTGACGCTCCATTTATGTGCATCATACTCAACAGAAATTTACACTACTTTTTCGAACTGTGTATAATTTTGTTGAGTTAACTTCTTTACAACTAAAACCAGTCATATAAAGGATATATAAACTGCTATACAAAAGGTGTGTTGCCCAGGGATGTCGAGAATTTGTTTGACCCGACACATTCCTAGACCGGAACGAGATTCGAACCCAGCCACCTCCAGGATGATCTTGCTTTGTAGCTGCGCCTTTTCCAATTTGGCCAAACATGAAATAAGGTGTTCAAAACAACGTTCAACATATATATATAATTTGACATGCCATCACATTGTTTGCTACTGTTTGCATTTATATATTAAGTTGTCTCTTTGTCATTCGTTTGCAGCCAAACTCTGATTGTTATTGTTTTGCTGGGAAGTTGAAATCGAAGAAAAAATAACCAGGATGAATTATTCTGAGTTTGTTACAGTTATGGGAGCAGCATATCTGTTGCTGGAGGAGAACGAATCGAAAAAAGTAGAAGGGTCTGTGCCTAAGGGCACGAACGGAAGCTTGACGTAGGACCGCTAGTGGATGGAACAAATGTGAACATTTAGATCTTTTAATTGATCAATCATCAATTATCTTAACTCTTTCCGTTTTTTTTATTTGTAAGCGTATCAAATTTGTAGTATTTATTTCAAAGAGAAAGTTGATGAAGAGAATCCAAGGGACTGTCAACTTGAGTATTTTCGATTCATCTACGCGACTTTGTTATTTATGAATTTTTAATTTTTGTGCATTTTGGTATTAAAGTGTATTCAATTCACCCCTCACAGGATTTCCTTGCGAATTATATGAATAGGGCGGGGCGGAAAGTATCGTTTGTGCAGAATACATATGTAAAAAAGGAGGGACTTCGCGAGATTGAACTCGTGCGAGCTAATTTTCTCACAAAATTGGATTTTATTGGCTTTCTGGGGACTGAATATACATCCAAAGCGAATAATTCCCACTTCTCTCAAATTCTATATGGATTTTTAACACTTCCTACCAGCGTGTTCTGGAAAATGGTCGGACGATGATTAATCTAACCAATACATTCGGGCCTACAATTCTACACCTTATATAGAGATCAGGTTGAGCCTTGATAGTTAGCTGCTTGCGGGAACTGATGACCTTGACAAATGTCCAAATAATACTTTTAACAAATTTATGGTCGTCCTGAAAAGGATCATTTTGCAGTGATGGTTGAGTAATGCAGAGCTGAGCACGACTGAGCTCCTTCTCTATGGTTGCTCATATGAGCACTGCAGCTCGCTACTGCTGTTGCTGGACTGGACACCACCACTTACGGTGATTGAATGAGCACCGTTCAGTGGGACCGCATCGAATTCGATTTTGACGTAGGACTACGTCTTTGATTTCTATATGGGGGTTTACTTTGTGAAAACCGAAAATGGAGCATGTAACAAATTAAGAAAGATTTTGAACGTTAATAACTCAGCTGCCCCTGGTCCAATTTTAATAATCTTATCACCGATCGATCAGAAATATAGCTACGTATCGATAACAATTCCGATATTGATATTGATTTTCAACAAGAAACTATTGAAAAACTGGTAATTGTCCAGCATTGTCCAAAAGCGTCGAATTAACTAACAAATCCACCAATTACCTACATGCATATGCTGCTTCCCCAGCACAGTCGTCAGAGAGTAGTAAGTAGACGAAACAAGTCGAAGCGGCATTCGCCTCCGATCCCGGGCGCGAGTGAATAGGGAGGATGGAATTGCGTAATATTTTGCATACTCATCGCCATATTCAGAACCAAACGCAAATTCTTCGAGATAACTACCATCCGTCGTCTGGTTCGCCTTGGCGGTGTCTGACGTATCTTCGGTCTGATTTACGAGGTGTGCTGAAGGTGTTCCTGAAAAATGAGATCCGTGATGCTGTCACCTACACTAAACACGCCAAGCGTAAGCGGCCATGGATGTCATATAGAATTCTTCTGC